GTGTGGGAGAGAACGCAACGGCCGGAGGAAATTGAGGAGGAACAGATGGACGTCGGATTTCTGCTTCAGTGTCATGACTACGATGCTAGACCAGAACCATCAGCCTTGGACATGGTATGTGAAAAATTAGAAGCCCAGCAGTTTGCGAATTTAGCATTTTCATCACACAAGCTTGGTTACTATTAGCTTTCCGGTAGTGTATTACATTATTTTGGTGTACCAGACAGATGCTCGGTGTAAATATCGATAACATTAGCTAGTTAGCTTACGAACTAGCTTAGCTACATCTCCGTTTGTTCTCCGATGTATTTTTTTATATAGATTGGGCTTGAGGTCTCACAGCACATGCTAGGTGCTGATTATTGTTTCATGTTGTCAGGTATGTTATCTGAATATTGCCCTTTTGATATGTTCCACTGGGAAGAGATTGGGCTTGAGGTCCCGTAGCACATGCTAGGTGCTGATTATTGTTTCATGTTGTGTAGAAGTTGTCAGATTAAACGGAGCCCGCCTCCAAACGCAGTCCTGGTGTTTCGTGGGTCCTTCAGCCACCACACACGCCACAGCACAACACAACGCAGAAGTCCACCGGTCACACTTGTACCAGCACATATTTATATTAAACCTGGCAAATTACCACATTTAACATAATCACAGACCTAGGAAACTCTGCTTCATTGATCCGCATGGACCTTTATTTTATATATCACAGGAACTGGATTTTATGTTGCTGACCGAGACCTGGCTAAAGGAAGATGAGCATTATGCATTTTCTGAACTTCTCCCACCGGATTGCTCCTTCCTTAGCTCCCCGTGCTCATCAGGCAGGGGCAGCGGCCTGGCATCAGTTTTTAAAAACAGTTTTATATGTCAGCAGTTCACAGTGGACACCTACACCTACTTCACTTTTGAGTTACAACTGTTTGTGGTGGAGCTCTCTTATCCACTGCTGTGTGCAGGGGTTTATCGTCCTCCTAAATTCAACAAGGGTTTTATTCAGGGGTTTTCTGACTTCTTGGGTTTTATCCTGCCAAAGTCTGATAAACTTTTAATACTTGGCTGTCCTGATGACCCATTGGCCAAAGACCTTTTAAATATTATTGACTCAGTCGGTGCATGGCCCTACACATGAGCTCGGACACACACCGGACTTTGTGATCTCTCATGGACTGTCTGTTTACTGAAATATGGGATTCTCTGTTTTCAGATCACTTGCCTGTGTTATAACTTAATAAATCAGTCAGATAATGTGTTAGACTTTAATGTGTTAGTAATGTAGTTTAGTAAGATTCAAAGTCTGCTCTAGTTTGCTCTGCTTCAAGGTTAGAAGACAATGTTGATTCTGAAAAGTGTACCTTGACACCAGTTGTTTTCTTGTATTAATCTTGTGTTAGAATTATGTCTGAATGTATGTTTTAGTTACACACCACGTATACAACATACACACACATGGAATTCTTCATTTTGTTATGTCCAGCTGCTCCAAGCCTGTGGAGCTCTAGATAAGAGAAGGAGACGCTGGACTGTCTCCAACTCGTGATGTTTTTATATATTTTTGTGTAAGGGGTCAGCCCAAAACCGGGAGACTCCTTTCTTCCAGTAGTTGTCTGGAGCAGAGAGCTACCCGGGTTGTGTTTCTGTAACTTTTATTGTGGCTTTTAAAATAAATCATCACTAAAATGAAGCAAGTCGGACTCCATCTTCATTCAGAGCTGTCTAATGGAAGAACTGGGGCATTGCAGAAACTAGAGTTATGAAAAGTAACTGTGGATTAAACCAGTCCTGCGTGTCCTTTTATGAAGAATGCTCAAAGACAAATCTGTCTTTTGAGATATTTATTACAATCAATATTTAAGGCAAAATATTCTAGAAAAGCAATACAGAGCTCTGGATTCCGTCTCTTTCTGAAGCCCTATCACAAGTCAGTGCATAGCTGCTGCAGGAAGCTGGAACCCCAAGTTTCCTCTGCATAAAGAATTTATGAGAGTCATGCAAATGATCTGACGTCATCCGCGTTGTCCTTCATCCTCGTTCCTTGGTTGGTTCCTTGACCTCGTTCTGACCCCTCATTTGGTGATCTTGTCGCCAGGCAGATTTTGAATTCACAGTACAACATATCCTGACCTTTCGACCTAGACATTACCCTCCTACATACGTCTTTATAAACAGTTAGTTGTTGTCTGCAGATTTAGGATTAGCGCCAGCATTGCTATGCAACTGTGGTCTACTTCCTGTATGTGGTTTCCTGTGTACTCTTACAGCCTTACACATGTCTCCTATATTCTTAAAGTCAAGTGAACGGTTAAAACAAAAGTAGATTATAAGGCATATGATTCTATTATAATGCATATGATACTAAAATAAACATGTAAATATATTTGCTAGTGCAGATTATAATGTCAATCCTAGAATTTCATGTGTTGATAAATGTTGATAATCTGAAGCCAAGACAATCAGACCTTACACCCACACACTATTCTCGTGCAGACAGTTTAGTCATCTCAGTATGTATCTGCACGACTTCCTGTTGTTCTGAGTCTCTCTGCACAAAGCATTTCATGGGCACAGGTCAAGTCTTTCCAAAGGTCAAACAGATTAAACAATTATTTGAACAGTTTTGCAAATACATAACATAGCACTATATCATTTTATCAAGAATTTCTTTCTACTTAACTAAAGCTTATACAGTAACTAGAGCCTATAAGAAACAAATCTTACAATTCCCCCTTTTGACATGATTTTATCATGTCAATCAAAACTGGAGAATTATAAACTGTATTGGAGGGCTGATCTGAATGTCAGAGACAAATCAGTCATCCAGCCAGAGGGAGCATAAGGCCCCCTTTTGGAATCTCAATGTAATGTAAACATGTCTTCACTGCTAGCATACTACACCGTGTTGCCAAAAGCATCTGTCCACCTGCCTTCTCATTCAAAGGAGCATGAATCAAAGCTGATTCTTGACCCATAGGGTCCAAACTGGTGCTGGCCCACCCTCTGCAGTTAGAACAGCTTCCACTCCTCTGGGAGGGTTGTCCATGGAGACCAGGATTGGGAGACTGTTCAAATGTATGTATGTATGGTATGCTGAAGCCTCAAGAGTTCTTTTCACTGGATCAAAGAGACTAAGCACAGTTCCTGAGAAGCAACTTCACCTCATGAGCCGATGCCCTGCATCGTACTCGGTGGTGTTTTTGTGGATGTGGCGGTTCAACCATGGAGCCCCCTTTCTGGGAGTTCTCCATGTCCTGGGGTGGGGCCACTCTGCAGGTCACATGAAGTGTAAGGACTAGACCCACTGCACCAGTGGCATCCCATCCTGGCATCATGTTGTAGTTCGCTGAGATCCTTTTATGACATTCTGTAGGAACTGGATGCATCCATAGGTGGTTGACTGCATGCACTCGTAGCCATTGAAAAGAGTGAGGCACCTGAGTTTGATAATTTGGAGGGGTGGATGAATACCTTCGGCAGCACAGTGCACATGTCAGCGGCTACATGCAAGCAGATTTTCATTGTAACTACTTCAGGAAGCATTCTTCATTTCACCAACAACTGGAAAAAATAAGCAGAATGAATAACAGATTAATGGGAAAGATACAAATAAAGTAATCCTCATAAAAATGGGAAATTAGAATGCGAAATACTCAATAAAAAATCGAAAAGAACAAATAAGGCAAACACAAAAATGAAAGATTAATCAGTCTTTATTTCAATACAAGAAACAGGAAATTAATCAATGTAAAACAATCAATAAAAAATGGAAAAGAAACAATTGATTAAAAATGGAAAAGAAACAAAACGAATAAGGCAAACAGAAAAATGGAAAATTAAGTCTTTTTTTTTTTTTTGACTGATCACAAGTCCTGCAATACTTAGCAATTACACCAAGCTTAACTAAACCATCCTAAGAATATCACGCCTGCTACGTGAGTGTTGTTACTATATGGGTTATGTGATAACCTTAGCAAAGTTGTGTGAAAGGGGTTTCAGGGGACTAATAAGTGGTGTCGTCTTTGTCCTCCAGGTCCAAGGTGTCGTCATAGATGATGAGTTGTGGGAAGGAAGACAAGGATGCACTCTCTGCAGCTAACTGAGAGAGTTGATATGGAGGAGGATATTTTGAGTCTATGGCTCTAGTAATGCATTTGGTACATGATTGCCTAATACAGGGGATGCAACAGCAGCCGCAGAGAACTAGAATGGCTGCAAATAAAGCTACAGACACTAAGCTGGACGTGACTAAACCACTCCATTTTCCAAACCAATGTGACAATAACTCAGAGAAGGGATCATTAATGCCAGAACTTTCAGCCAATTCTTCAGATAAAGCAGTCAGACCCTCTAAGGCCTTGGTGATGCTTCCATCTGGTGCAGTATTATTTGGGAAGAAGGTACATTGTACAGATTATACAGACTCGTACAGGTCTCTAGTACTCCGTTTAAGTATTCTATTTCTATTCCTATTTATCTCATTTCAAAGAACATTCCTTTGTTGTCTGCATTGTTTACTGTCTGTTCATACTGCTTATTCTGCATTGTTTACACTTTCTGTTGTAAATACTGCTTATTTTTGTCATATTACACAGCCTTATGCTGGTTTACTGTTTGCACATTGAGAGCCGATGTACCAGAGTCAAATTCCTCGTGTGTCCAACACACCTGACCAATAAAGCAGATTCTGATTCCTAGTTGTGGCCTTGCTGTGGCACAAGCAATGCAACCACTTTGGTTATGTTGTCTAGCTGTGTAATACATCCATTCTAACCATTCATTTCTGTCTTGGTATCCTATTTCTAAAGCTAACTTATCTTCTAGTTTCAAATTAGTGAGATACTGGATTTTAGGATTAACATGTGGCATAGGCACACCCTTGGGAGTGGAGGTGGTTTGTATTGGAGCATCTATGAGCTTGATTTTCATTAGCCCTTT